TTCCCCCCATCCTCACCAACATTTATAGTTTCTTGTGATCATGAGGCTGCCAGCGCCTCTCTGGGGTCCTGTCTCCTGCCCAGGAGGATATGTGCCACTAGAGAAGATAAGTCTGAAATAATTAGTGAAGAAATAAGATGAAGTCAGAATTTATAATTTAAAGGGAGCTTGAAGTGCCTAATAGGTCCAGCCCACACAGGAACTGAACAATTTTAAAATGGCTCCAGTGGTTTATTTAAGTGCATACATCAAAGGCAGGGATAAGGTTTCAGAGGTAGAGTGTTGCTTTGTGATGTCTTGCAGTCAACGGGTTAATTGGCATCTTGGCAAGTTACATGCATCTCTGACAGGCTGTGTGGCTGCAGCAGGTCACCCCATTTCCAGTGCTGAGTGGGACCTTTCTGGCAGAGCTGAATATTTTTCACATGAGTCTGGGTGATCTTACCCAGTGGGACTGCCATGGGAAGTTCCCAAATACCTGAACAGTACTTGGTGGTATGGCCATTTTGACAATGTTAGTTATGACTATCCTAGAGCATGGAAGATATTTCCATCTTCTAAGGTCTTCCATTTTCCTTAGTTTTCATTGTAGAGGTCTTTCACCTCTTTTGTTAGATTGATTCCCAAATATTTTATTTTATTTTTTGAGACTATTGTGAATGGGACAGTTTTCCTAACTTCTCTTTCAGTGGATTCATCACTGATGTATAGGGAATGAATGGGTGTTAATTTTATTTCCTCCTACTTGTTGAATTCATTTATGAGTTCTAGAAGTTTTTTGGTGGAATTTTTTTTAATCTTCTAAATATATAATCATGTTGTCAGCAAATAGTGATAGTTTGAGCTCTTCTTTACCTATTTGTATCGCTTTAATTTCTTTCATCTAATTGCTCTGGTTAGAGTTTCAAGGACAATGTTGAATAAAAGTGGTGAAAGAGGGCATCCTTGTCTTGTTCCAATTTTTACAGGGAATGCTTTCAATATTTCTCCATTTAGGATGATGTTGGCTTTGGGTTTAGCATATATAGCTTTCATAATGTTGAGGTACATTCCTACTATTTCTAGTTTTTCTAGTGTTTTGAACTTGAGGGATGCTGTATGTTGTGAAATGATTTTTTAAGATGATCTATTAAGATGATCATATGATTACTATATTTAAGTCTATTGATATGACAAATTACTTTTATTGATTTCTGTATGTTGAACCAACCTTGCATCTTGGAATGAACCCCATTTGATTGTGGTGCACTACATTTTAAATATGTTTTTATATGAAATTTTCCACAATTTTATTGAGAATTTTTGCATCTATGTTCAACAGGGATATTGGTCTTAAGTTTTCTTTCCTTGATGTGCCTTTGGTTTTGGTATCAGGGTGATACTAGCTTCATGGAATGAGTTTAGAAGGGTTCCCTCCTTTTCTAAATTGAGGAATATTGGTGTTCATCTTTTAAGTTCTGGTAGACCTCGGCTGAGAATCCATCCAATCCTGGGCTTTTCTTTGTTGGTAGGCTTTTGATAACATCTTCAATTTCATTGCTTGAAACTGATCTTTTAAAAAATTTCCATGTTCTCCTGATTCAATTTGGGTAGGTCATATGCCTTTAGAAATGTGGTGATGTCTTCAAGATTTCCTATTTTATTGAAGTATAAATTTTCAAAATAGTTTCTGATTATCATCTGTATTTCAGTAGTGTCTGTCATGGTATTTCCTTTTTCATCATGAATTTTAGTAATTTGAGTTTTTTCTTTTTCTTCGTTAGCCTGGCTAAGGGTTTATCAACCACATTTATTTTTTTTCAAAGAACCAACTTTTTGTCTTGTCAGTTTTTTTTAATGGTTTCTTTTGTTTCAATTTCATCTGATTTTAATTATGTTCTGTCTTCTGCTTTCAGGGTTAATTTGTTCTTTTTCTAGGGCTTTGTGATGTAATATTAGGTCATTTATTCACTGACTGTATTTTTTTTAATGAATGAGCTCAATACAATTAAATTTCTTTTTATCACTGTCTTCAGTATCCAGAGATTTTGATATGTTGTACCACTATTCTCATTTACCTCTAAGTATTTTTTTTTAAATTTCATCCTTGCTTTCTTCTGCTCTCTATTCATCATTGAATAGAATATTATTTAGTCTCCAGGTGTTTGAGTAGCTTCTATTTTTTTATTTATCATTGATTTCTAATTTTATTCCATTTTGATCTGATAGAACGCAAGGTATTATCTCTATTTTTTTTTTTTTTTTTTGTATTTGCTAGGTGCTGATTTGTGACATAGATACGGTCTATTTTAGAGAAGGATTCATGTGCTGCTAAGAAGAAAGTGTATTCACTCATTGATGGATAAAATATTCTATATATGTATGTTAAGTCTAAATTAGTGATTGTATTATTTAGTTCTATAGTTTTTTTTTGTTTAGTTTTGTTTGGAGGAACAAGGAATGTTAAAATCACCCAATATTATTGTGTTGTGGGCTCTTTGATTCTTGAAATTGAGAAGGGTTCCTTTGATGTAACACAGATATTCCATTGTTGGGGCATATATATTTCTGATTGTTATGTCTTGTTGATGTATACGTCCCTTAAGCAGTATGACATTACCTTCTTTGTCTCTTCTGATTAACTCTGGCTTGAAGTCCACTTTATCTGCTTGTTTACACGGTCCATGTTAGTGATGTATTTCTTCTCATCCTTTCACCTTCAGTCTGTGGATGTTTTTTGCCTATTAGTGAGTCTCTTGGAGATAGGATATTGTTGGATCATGTTTTTAAATGCATTCTACCAGTTTATGTCTTTTGATTAATGAGTTTAGATCATTACTGTTCAAGGTTATTGGGACAGGATTTGTATTCCTGGTCATTTTGATTTATTTCTAGTTTTTAATTTGAATTAGTTTCTCCTCTGATTGACTATTCCTTTAGTGTAGTTCCTTCCTTTCCTAGCTTTTGCTTTTTTTTTTTTTTTCCCCATTTCATCTTCATGGAATATTTTGTTGAGAATATTCTGTAGTGCCGGCTTTCTAGTTGCAAATTATTTTAACTTTTGTTTATCATGGAAGGTTTTTATTTCATCTTCAAATCTGAAGCTTAATTTTTCTGTGTATAGGATTCTTGGTTGGCATCCATTTTCTTTCAGAGCTTGGTATAGGTTATTCCAGGACCTTGTTTCTGATCTTTTAGAAAAAGCTCTGAATTCTCACATTAAGTATGATACTGTGTGTAGGAGTTTTGTAGATACTCTCTGTCAAGGTGAGAAAGTTCCCAAGTATTCAGTTTACTGTGAGTTTTTATCACAAATAGTTGTTTGGTTTAGTCAAATTTTTCATGTCTATTGATATGATCATGTGATTTTTCTTTTTTATTCTATTGATTACACTAATTGATTTTTTAGTGTTGAACTGGGCTTGTATACCTGAGATAGATTCCATTTGAAATCTATAGCTTATTTTAACATGTCTCTAGCATGTGGTTTGTTTTTAGTTATTTCAATACTGACAATTAAACCCAGGAAGATTTTACCACTGAGCTACAACCCCAGAGGTTTTTTTTTTTTTTTTTTTTTTTTTTGAGATAGGTTGGCTGTAACTTGCAATTCTTCTGCCTCTGGCTCCTGATTCACTGGGATTATAAGAATATGCCACTGGGGCCACTGGGCTTTATTGTTGGTGCATCTTTTGGTAATAAATTCCTTCCATTTTTGTCTAAGAAGGTATTTCTCCTTCACTTTTGAATAACTGTTTCACAGGCTAAAGAATTCTATGTTGCTGTATTTTTTCTTTCAACATTTTAAACATTTCACTCTACATTCTTATTGCTTGCATGACTTCTGGGGAGAATTTGGAAGCAATTCTTATCTTTGTTCATATATAGTCTAGGTGTTTTTCTACTCTCGCTTCTTTAAATATTTTTTTTTCTTTAATTTTCTGTAGTTTGAAAATATCTGCCTAGATGTTGATGTTTTGATATTTTTCCTGCTTTAGTGTTCTCCTGACATTTCCAAATTTTACAGGAGAGGAAACTGACTAGTACTACTCCAACTACTTTAATTACAAAGCAACTGGGTACTACAAGGATAATTGGTACAATAAATAATAATATACTTAAACTTCGATATAACTTAACCTTATTTTTTGTGTAACTTTTCTCTTGCAAAAGAACAATATCATTCCTTTAACCACCTATATTATTCTTTGCTTCAATTTGAAATTAATTCAAAATATAGTGATCCAAGTTCAATTGAATATTCTGGTCATTGATTCATTTGAATTACAATGAGTTTACTTTATTCTCAGAATATTTATTAGTACCAGTCAATGAGCTTACCTTTTGCCTTTAACAGTGTTATCAATTATTAGCTTGGAACTGCAGTGATGTTACAACTTCCAAAATTCTTCCACTTAACTTTTTAAATTTAAGATTTAAAATTTAAATTAGTTATGCTGGGTGTGGGTATAGCAGTACATACCTATAATACCAGCAACTTGTGAGGGTAAGATAGGAGGATTCCAAGTTTGAAGCTAGTTTCAGCAACTCAGTGAAGCCCTAAGCAACTTAGTGAGACCCCATCTCAAAATAAAGAATAAAGAGGGCTGGAGATATAGTTCAGTACAGTACCCATGGATTGAATTCACAGTATCAAAGAACAAAACAAAACTTAGTTATAAAATTTCTCATTAAGTGCATTAAAATTAACACTATTCTCTCTTTTGTACTTCTAATTTTCATTTATACTGTTGTCTTATTTTTTAATTCTATTTTGATTTGTTAACAGGCATATGTTTTACTCAATAATCCTAAAGAGCAAAACTTTCTGGAGGTAATCATAAACTAGTGACAGGAATATGAACTGTAATCAAGATAACAAGAGATTTGGTTTCATTATAATTTAGTCTTTCTTTTACAAATTGGAGAAAAATAGAAGGCAAATTATTTTGTATTATTTCTATTCATTACCCCATAGAAGATTTTTCTCTTGTTAAATTAATAGGTAATCATATACTGACCTTGGACTCATCTAATCCAAGCTTCTTTAGAGACTTTCTGACATAATCCAGAAAAGAAGAACATTTGGAATAGATTTTACCAACATGCTGCTCACTGCAAAACAAAACTGAATACTTTTTTAGTTTTTCCAATTTAAATTAAAAATAGTTTTAAATTCAGACATGACATGTTTAAAAATATCTTCTGTGTATATAGCACAAGATCCAGATGTGACCAAAATATATTAATACTTTGGTGAACCTTTTATGATCTGCTTCAGAATTCTTACAACATATAGCAGTGGAAGATAATATTAGGAAGATAATGCTATGAGAAAGAAGTTTCAAACTTACAGTATTAAAAATTTAGCCATATATATATATATATATATATATATATATATATAACTATATACTTATATATAGTTGTAGATGGACACAGCACCTTTATATTTATGTATGTGTGTATGTATGTATGTATATATGTATATATATATGGTGCTGGGGATGAAAACCAGTGCGTCATGCATACTAGGCAAGTGCTCTACCACTGAGTCACAACCCCTGCTCCTTAGCCTCATTTTTAAAGGGAACTAACAGGCCTTTCAAAAGTTTCCGTTGTGCTACAAAATACATTTCGGTTTTACTGGCTTAATATTATTGTGCACATTTTATTGCAACACCTGCTAATAGTGGCAATAATTCAACAGTTCCATGAAGAGAACTTCTTCAATGCCAGTCAGCGATCAAGCACCATATGCTGATTTGGATATGACTAGATGTAATTTTTACTTTGCAGATTTTATAGTTATAGTTTTAACAAAGTATCATGAAATGGTTTTCAATTTAAATAATATAATGTTACACTATTGCATCTTACAATTTTTTTGTAATTCTGGCATAATGTAAAAAATCAGGGAGATAAAAATCCACCACCTTGCCGATATCAAAAACAATGAATAAAGCTTCATTTACTCTTGACAGGATAAATATAAACCCTATGGTTAATGAGAAAATACATTCTACAGATTCTTCCCTTAAAATATATCTTAAGCAGGACACAATGGTGCATGCCTCTAATCCCAGGACTTGGGAGGCAGAGGCAGGAGGATGCCAAGTTTGAGACCAGCCTCAGCAACTTAGTGAGGCCAAAAGATGTGGCTCAGTGGTTAAGCTCCCCTGGGGTTCAATTTCCAATAACCTTCCTGCTCCCCCAGCCAAAAAGAGATAGGTATCTCAAATATATTCCTTCAGTTCCATTTCAAGATGACTGCCTCAATTTGAATCACTATGTCTTGATTATTACAATTAATTCTAGTTAGGACCTCTGACTGAAGTCTTCTTCCTTCATTTCTGCCTATAATATTATTTTCTCAGAAGAAAACATTTTTAGAAGAACATTTTTATTTTGCCACTTCACTGCTCCAAAAACTCTCAATAATTGTTTCTTGTTACAAATTTGAAAATCTTTAATTAAGCCATCTTGGTCCAATATATGACCACATTTTCCCATTCTCTCATATCCCATTACATTTGAGAATTTAGTTTTATCTCCTTAGATGAGTCTACTCATTGATTCCAAATGCCTTCCACATTTCTGTCTTGATGTGTTTGATGATGCAGTCACCTCTTAATGGATTATGAGGTTCCTTACTCTTCAGCTTAGTTGTACTATAGTCATTACTTAATGACAAAGGTCAAGTTTACATGTTTTTTTGGTAAAGTAACTAATAATCATCTTTTCTTGTTTTGAATTTCTATAATGCTTATTATTGTTCTGTTCATTTCTTATTTTATCATTGCCTTGAATAAAGTAATTTGAATAGGTTTATGTTCACAGAATGCAGAAACTGTATATTTGTGTCAATCTCAGATTCCACATAGAACTATATATTTTATGTATAATACGTATCATATAAATAGATATGTACCTCTTATGTGTCACAGAATACTGAATTGATTATATAGCCAGAAAAAGATTTCATTCAATATTAACTTCTTTTTTTTATATTTATCTTTTAGTTGTAGTTGGACACAATACCTTTATTCTATTTATTTTTATGTAGTGCTGAGGATAGAATTCAGGGCCTGACACATGCTAGGCGAGCACTCTACTGCTGAGCCACAATCCCAGGCCCCTAATATTAACTTCTTGCCAGCTGCAAAACACAACTAAATCAGTCAGGGTCACTCCAAGTGAATTGGGATGGCACTGAATAATCACACAGACACAGAAAGTACCTTTTTCTTGGGGTCCAGTGAAGAGCTCCTTGGCCCCAGCTCCCACAAGGGAAGCAAGAGAGGCAGACAAGAGAGAGCAAGAGCACACCTTAAGCCCTATTTATTCGGGGGAAGACACTAGAGAAAGTTCTACCTAAATTGGCAAGGGTTGGGTTTCAGGGGCTGTAGCCCAGTCCCATTGGGTGACGCCCACTTCCAGAGCTTTACTCCTCTGCTGTTGGAGGTGAGGTCCATCTGCTTTTGTGAGCAGTGGAAGCCAGTTCCACACCTCCATGGCTCAAGGCTAAGGGTACGTGCTCCTCTCTTATGTGCAGCTCCTGACACTTGCTCTCATATTAAAAAGGTCTTTATGCTGTCATTTCTTTTTTAATCTAAAAGGACAACTAATTAAGTCATTCCCATGAGCCAGAGATTCCAGTTCTTATATTATTCACTGCTGCCTTATAGAGTACTTCAAGAAAGTGCAGCACAGTGGAGAATAATGTGGCTTGGTTTCAGTCACAGTAGTTTTATCATCTCTTAGTTTTCTCAGTATCAAAATGAGATATCAATAGTACTCACTTTGTAGAGTCACTGTAAACTAGATAACACATGTAAGATGCTCAGAAAAGAGACATGATGTTAACTGTTACCATCCTGTTGTCGTTTTTATCATTACCAAAATTAATAATCTGGATTTTTTTATATTAACATAAAAAAACCCAAGCAAACAAACAAACAAACAAAATAAGATGTATATTATGTGTATAGATGGTAGTGATCTATGCCTTGGGTTTTGTATTTCAGGGTAGTTGAAGATAAAAGCACTTTGTATTTTAGTTTGCCCTTCACTTACTTTTCCTTTCCAGAAAATACTATCTTTTACTATTAAGAAAAAACTCACAGCATGACTATTCTAAGATTACTTTTCACAATACTTTTCCTCTTGTAATTCTTCAAGAGCTGCCCATGAATCTTAGGGTATAAATCCTTAACAGAGTATATAAGCTTTATTATATATTTGGGTTTGACCCCTCCAACATGATTTTATGATACCACCTCCTCAGCAACACTAACATTCTGTTTCTTGAACACACTATGCTTTTAGCTATAAACACTATTCCTGAAACACTCCACTCTCAATACTTTTGCCTCTGGAACTCCACATTCCATTGAGATCCTATCTCAAATGTTGATTCCTTAGGGCAGACTTCTCTGGCACTCCATATAAAGCCCCTGATATAGAACACATTTACTTCATATCTTTCTTGTTTGTTTTTCTCATTATCTATCCCCTGACATTTTAAACCAGTGGACTTTCCAAATGGTGTGAATATTTTCCAATGGGAAAAAGAATATTACAGTTTTTATTTCTATTTTATTCATTTTTAATTTCCATTTTTGAGTTTATTGTAAAATCTATACCCTAGTACATAGCTGCACTGCATATATCACTTAAAAGTAATTAAATATTAATTTGTATGTACATGATTAAAAAGGTTGACAAAGGTATAACATTCAAAAATATGTTTGAGATCACTACTTTAATCACTAGAGAGCAGAGTTTCTACCTGTTTTGCTCATGATTATATCCCCAGTGCTTAGCACAGTGCTGCTCTCATAGAAGGATCTCAATAAATGGAATAAAAAATTAAATAAAAAGATCTTTCAGTTTATAGAGAGAAGCATATCTTGTTACACAGTATAGGGAAATATAGTAATATAGTAAATGTGTATTGTAATCAAATACACAAAGGTAGGCTTAAATACACAGATAAATGTAATCTAAAATATACAGAAAGAACTATTGTACAAATATGTAAAGAAAAGTGCAAAGTAAAAAATACCCATAGCAGCAGCTAATATTTATGACATGTTTACTATGTGCTAAGGTTTCTTAAATCCTTTGTTGCATTTATACATTTAGTTTATACAACAATTCTGTTTGGTCAGGTCTCATTATTAGTCCTATTCTACAGTACAGAGAGGTTACGCAAAATGCCCAATGTTTGTCTTCAGAATCTGGGATATTAACTACTAGTCAATATTATCTCTAGCATAGTATGGATAGGACTTACATTCAATATTGTGAACTGATGATGAAGAATGACCACCTCTGTATTTTAGGTCAACAGACACAGGCCTACTTCATGACAACCCACCAGAGTAAATATATATATTCTTACAGAAAAGCTGTGCAGGCTTGCCTGCTGTACTTAAGAAAGAGTTTTAGTACTTTAGTGCAACAAAGATATAATAGTAATCCAAACAATGCTAAATAATTCTAATAATTAAAAAATGACATGAGAAGAAAAGAGAATGAACATATGGTTGGAGGAGACACTCTTTCTAAGTCATTGCCAGATTTACTACCCAAACTGTTCAGGATTTATGGCTTGTTAGAAATACTTGAATTCTTTCTAAATGGCACTCATGCTAATTAGGTTGTTCATTCATTTAATTTTAAAACATTTATTGAAATGTTGTATATGCATGGTAATAGTGGTTAGCACAGGTTTTAAACTCAACACTGAAATGGGTTTGTAGCCTCACTCTAACACTTATTAAACACTTAAGTCTTTCTTTGCTTCTCTCTTGATCATTGGAATAGTGTTGTTAAATCCATCTCATGAGGCTGATGACAAAATAAAATATTCTATGTAGTATGCTTGACTCAGTGTCTTACAAACACCTAATGAATGACAGTTATTTTTCTGTTATTATGCCAGGCTCTAAGAATTGAATCATTCATTTTATAAAAATCAAGGACAGGTGAACAAATATTATTATATGATAGGATAAATACATGGTGATAGAGCTATTCAAAGACTACAGAGGATAGCACAAAGCAGACAGTGACATCATTCTCTGAAAATGACTTGGGAAGTCTTCTTA